TGGATCTGCGCTGGGCCAGCCCGGCGGCGCCCCTGGCGCCGCCCCTGGCGCGCTCGGCGCGCTGGGGAGGGGGGTCTGGCGCAGATCCTGGAAATCCGCGCGGAGCGTGGAAAATTTATGATTATGCTGCGTTTTCTTGTTCTGTCCTCTCGCCTCGTTTTCCCCTGTCTGGGCCTCCTGGGAGGCCCTGGTCGCCACCGCCGGATTCTCCTCGAAGTCCTGGTCACGAGGCGCCCCGGGAGAGGTCCGGGGGGAGGCGTGCGAGTCGAGTTCGCCAGATTTTCGGGTTCGCCGGAAGCTTGTGGACGCACCCGTTCTGCATGGGCTCGGGGAGGGGGACAGGCCCGGGGGGGACGCCCCTGACCTTCCAGCACTTCAGACCTTTACACCTATCTGGACCGTCTCAAACCTCGACAGAAATGAAGAAGTCGATGTCTCGCTGCTCTTTTTCCCCAAACAGCTTGCTGAACGGGGTGCTGTTGTGATAGAAGCTAATTCCGGCCGAGGGAAAGCTAAGCAGAGACATCCTCAAACAAATGTGGTGGTCCGGCCCGTTTCGCCTGAGACATCCTCACAACTCTCGTTTCTGAGTTGTCCGGGATTGAGCGTTTCGCCTGAGACATCCTCCTAAATCTGAGCTCTGAGAGGCCGCGCGAGAGGTGGTCCGGGCCGTTTCGCTTGAGACATCCTCGAAACTCTGAGCTCCCAGATGCCGCGCGAGAGGTGGTCCGGGCCGTTTCGCCTGAGACATCCTCGCAACTCTGAGCTCCAAGATGCCGCGCGCGAGGTGGTCCGGCCCGTTTCGCCTGAGACATCCTCGAAACTCTGATCTCCCCGATGCCGCGCGCGAGGTGGTCCGGCCCGTTTCGCCTGAGACATCCTCGAACTTCTGAGCTCTGAGATGCCCTGCGCGAGGTGGTCCGGCCCGTCTCGCCTGAGAAATCCTTGCAACTCTGAGATCTGAGATGCCGTGCGCAAGGTGGTCCGGCCTGTTTCGCACAAGATATTCTCGCAACTCTGAGCTCTCAGATGCTGCGCAAGAGGTGGTCCAGCCTGGGGGCCCAGAAGGCCACATGTTACATATCCTCCATGGGACCCTGCGAGCCTCAGGAGGCCCCAGAGAGGTCCAGGAGGCCGCAGGACGCCCAGGACAGGCCCCAGGGGCCCCCAGGAGATTCCCAGGAGGCCCCAGGAGGCCCTCTATCAGAACGTGTCAAGTTAATACACATCCGGTGTCGATTCGTTGATTTTTCCTGCTCTTGTGCCCCCCCCTCCATTTGGAGAGGCCCAAGCGGCCACAGGTTAGATATCCCCCCTGGGAGCCCCAAGATGCTTCAGGAAACCTCAGGTGGAGTTCAGGAGGCCACAGGAGGCCCAGGAGGAAGCTCCAGGAGGTCCCCAGGAGGCCCAGGAGGCACCAGGAGGCCGCAGGACGCCCAGGACAGGCCCCAGGGGTCTCCAGGAGATTCCCAGGAGGCTCCCAGGAGGCCCCAGGAGGCCGCTTATCAGAACGTGTCAAGTTAATACACATCCGGTGTCGATTCGTTGATTTTTCCTGCTCTTGTGCCCCCCCCCCTCCATTTGGAGAGGCCCAAACGGCCACAGGTTAGATATCCCCCCTGGGAGCCCCAAGAGGCTTCAGGAAACCCCAGGTGGAGTTCACGAGGCCACAGGAGGCCCAGGAGGAAGCTCCAGGAGGTCCCCAGGAGGCCCCAGGAGGCACCAGGAGGCCCCCGCAACTCGGAGCTCTGAGACGCCGCGCTCGAGGTGGTCCAGCCCGTTTCGCCTGAGACTTCCTCGCAGCACGTTTCGCCCGAGACATCGTCGCAACTCTGGGGTCCGAGATGCCGCGCGCGAGGTGGTCCAGCCCGTTACGCTGGAGACATCCTCGCAACTCTAGGCTCCGAAATGCCGTTCGCGATGAAGAGGAGGTGGAGGAGGAGGAGGAGGAGGAGGAGGAGGAGGAGGAGGAGATGGAAGGGAGAAGGAGGAGGCGGATGATGTGCATGAGGGAGCAGGCAGGAGGAGGGGGAGGTCCCAGAGAGCTTCAGGAGGCCGCAGGACGCCCAGGACAGGCCCCAGGGGTCCGCAGGAGATTCCCAGGAGGCTCCCAGGAGGCCCCAGGAGGCCCTCTATCAGAACGTGTCAAGTTAATACACATCCGGTGTCGATTCGTTGATTTTTCCTGCTCCTGTGGCCCCCCCTGTATTTGGAGAGGCCCAAACGGCCACAGGTTAGATATCCCCCCTGGGAGCCCCAAGATGCTTCAGGAAACCTCAGGTGGAGTTCAGGAGGCCACAGGAGGCCCGGGAGGAAGCCCCAGGAGGTCCCCAGGAGGCCCCAGGAGGCACCAGGAGGCCCCCGCAACTCGGAGCTCTGAGACGCCGCGCTCGAGGTGGTCCGGCCCGTTTCGCCTGAGACTTCCTCGCAGCACGTTTCGCCCGAGACATCGTCGCAACTCTGGGGTCCGAAATGCCGCGCGCGAGGTGGTCCAGCCCGT